ATTTTGCCGTTCAACCGAAATAAGTTAATTGGATTTAAAACTTATTTTATCGAAAGAGCAATTTTTTAAATCGCTTTTGTTAAGAATTTTCAACCCGTGAAAGCCTATTTACTTAAATACTCAAATAAATGCCCATACCAACCTAATGTTGAGCAAGTTTTAACAAATTTAAAGTCCAGTTTTGAAGAGTGTTAAAAAGGCGATTGTTTACATCTGGAAAATGTTATTGTTATTAAAAAAGTGTTTTTTCTACTCCCACCTTTAAAACGCCCTTTATCGTACATGTTTACTTGACACTAAGTGATCTTTTAAATACACATTGACAAGTTGTGGCTTTATGGCGCTTTAGTCACGGGCTGAAGTAAGCAACAGGTTTTTAGTCACAGGCTGAAGTTAGTTTCAAGTTAGTTGACAGTTGTCAAATGTCATACAATCGTTAAAATAAACTGCCTTGTAAAATAATACTAAATGTGAAAATTATTTTATTATCTTAACAAAAAAATACAAAAGGATTAAATAGTTTCTCAACGCCAATATTTAAAAAGTTCATATGAACATTGTACTGACCACTAATTTCGCTGGCAGTAAACTATAACTTAAATTCGGGCACACACTGTAAAGTGCTCATAAAACATTTTCTTTACTTTCACTGTGAAAAACTGTCAATTTTCAAGAAATACATTTAGATTTATAACCTTAATAATCTGTGTTTATAAAATTTAATAATTTGACATTTGACGGTGACACACAGATTCCCCTATTGTTTCATAGATGGCGCTCTATACAAGTTTTTGATTTAAATCATTTTAAGATAATAATAAGTATTTGTTGTAAAAAAAGTATAGTATGCACCTCGTTTATAAACTTTTCTATACACTCAAAATGTTTTTATTTCTACTAGACTTTTTATTTTACTCATCTTGCTTTATCTTTTCTGTATCTATATTAAATTTTTTTTAAACAAATATTTTACATAGTAAATTGATTAAAACAAATTAAAAGAATAAAATATTGTTGAGGGTTCATTTAGTAGAAATAAATTGTATTTAATTTTGCTTTTCACTAATAAAAATAGTTTATTACCGAGTTTAAATATAATTATTTTTAAATATTTAATACTTACTAAAAATACTAATTGTGCATTTTTAGGACTATTGATTTTTTATACCACATAAATCAAATTTTCAATGAAAACATCGTTTGACAAAATGCGATATAAAAAAGTATAATAGAGTCCAACTCAATTATATATATGTATATGTGATTATATGTAACCTTCAGAAAATATTTTCCTAAAATAGTCTATACGTAGGTACTCAATAAGCTATGTAAGCTGTGAATGAATAAGTAATAAAAGTAATCATGGAGGCTAGTTCAACCAGTCAAAAGAAAAAAATTCAAATAAAAAGCAAAATAGTGTCCGGTTAGGACTTATTTATATGTTTTTATTATAAATTCTGCTTCATTATTTCAACACTTTCTACTAAAGAGATTGATTATCACCTAGGTTGTAAATTTTACTTTTAACTTGTCAGTTTATTTAAGTGATCAGTTAGAGAAAGCGGTGCCATAAAAGTGTAGAAAAATTACCCCCAATAAATTTACAAAATATTTAGGAAATTCTGCGAATTTAATACTTTGTTGTTAGTAGCCAAGGAAAATATTTGCGGCCGTAGGCTATAGCTTAGCTGGCCTATTATTTAAATTCGGGCCTGATAGCATTGTGTATTGGTTGTACAGATGATGATTATAAATGTATCTAAAAGTTTGGGACCTACCTATTTGCGGCACGTCGTACTGAGGCGAGCCTCTAGGCGGTCGCATCATGATTTGCGAGTTAGTTAGTTATTAAGTTTTTCTTTTTCTTCTAAAATTTTTAAATCCGAAAGATTTATTTCTTTTTCATCCTTTTTATTGTTAATTTCCTGCTCTAATTGTTTTAGCCCTATCTGCCTCTTGGTTTTCAATGATACCCTTGTACCCACAAGATTAATTAAATGATTTTTTTCATTTTCTGAAAAATTTGAGGAGCGCCCCCTTTATTTTTCAGGATCTGTATCCATATTATTCTCTCTTACCATCAACTGAATCGGTCGTACATGAAATAGAATCGAACCACAGATGATAAAGAATCGAAACGCAGATTATAAAGAATCGAACTCTTAACGTCAAAATATATGTGCGTCACAAATAAGAGGGAAGTTAGTTATTAGCACCAATCTTTTCCATTTTTCAGTCCAATTCCCTAGATCACTAGTTAAATTTTAAACTATAGTAAAAAAATCACGGTGCAAGATTTTGGACACTAATCTCCTGTTACCTTTTAACTTGTCAGTTTATTTAACTGATCAGTTAGAAAAAGCGGTGCCATAAAAGTATAGAAAAATTACCCCCAATAAATTTACAAAATATTTAGGAAATTCTGCGAATTTAATTCTTTGTTGTTAGTAGCCAGGGAAAATATTTGCGGCCGTAGGCTATGGCTTAGCTGGCCTATTATTTAAATTCGGGCCTGATGGCATTGGGTATTGGTTATACAGATGATGATTACAAATGTATGTGAAAGTTTGGGACCTACCTATTTGCTGCACGTCGTACTGAGGCGAGCCTCTAGGCGGTCGCATCATGAGTTGCGAGTTAGTTAGTTATTATAATATATTAAGTTTTTCTTTTCCTTCTAAAATTTTTAAATCCGAAAGATTCATTTCTTTTTCATCCTTGTTATTGTTAATTTCCTGCTCTAATTGTTTTAGCCCTATCTGCCTCTTGGTTTTTAATGATACCCTTGCATCCACAAGATTAATTAAATGATTTTTTTCATTTTCTGAAAAGTTTGAGGAGCGCCCCCTTTATTTTTCAGGATCTGTATCCATATTATTCTCTCTTACCATCAACTGAATCGGTCGTACATGAAATAGAATAGAACCACAGATGATAAAGAATCGAACCACAGATTATAAAGAATCGAACTCTTAACGTCAAAATATATGTGCGTCACAAATAAGAGGGAAGTTAGTTATTAGCACCAATCTTTTCCATTTTTCAGTCCAATTCCCTAGATCACTAGTTAAATTTTAAACCATAGTAAAAAAATCACGGTGCAAGATTTTGGACACTAATCTCCTGTTACCTTTTAACTTGTCAGTTTATTTAACTGATCAGTTAGAGAAAACGGTGCCATAAAAGTATAGAAAAATTACCCCCAATAAATTTACAAAATATTTAGGAAATTCTGCGAATTTAATACTTTGTTGTTAGTAGCCACGGAAAATATTTGCGGCCGTAGGCTAAAGCCTAGCTAGCCTATTATTTAAATTCAGGCCTGATAGCATTGTGTATTGGTTGTACAGATGATGATTACAAATGTATGTAAAAGTTTGGGACCTACCTATTTGCGTCGTACTGAGGCGAGCCACTAGGCGGTCGCATCATGAGTTGCGAGTTAGTTAGTTATTATAATATATTAAGTTTTTCTTTTTCGTCTAAAATTTTTAAATCCGAAAGATTCATTTCTTTTTCATCCTTTTTATTGTTAATTTCCTGCTCTAATTGTTTTAGCTCTATCTGCCTCTTGGTTTTCAATGATACCTTTGCATCCACAAGATTAATTTAATGATTTTTTTCATTTTCTGAAAAAATTGAGGAGCGCCCCCTTTATTTTTCAGGATCTGTATCCATATTATTCTCTCTTACCATCAACTGAATCGGTCGTACATGAAATAGAATCGAACCACAGATGATAAAGAATCGAACCACAGATTATAAAGAATCGAACTCTTAACGTCAAAATATATGTGCGTCACAAATAAGAGGGAAGTTAGTTATTAGCACCAATCTTTTGCATTTTTCAGTCAAATTCCCTAGATCACTAGTTCAATTTTAAACCATAGTAAAAAAATCACGGTGCAACATTTTGGTCACTAATCTCCTGTTACGTTTTAACTTGTCAGTTTATTTAACTGATCAGTTAGAGAAAACGGTGCCATAAAAGTATAAAAAATTACCCCCAATAAATTTACAAAATATTTAGGAAATTCTGCGAATTTAATACTTTGTTGTTAGTAGCCACGGAAAATATTTGCGGCCGTAGGCTATAGCCTAGTTGGCCTATTATTTAAATTCGGGCCTGATAGCATTGTGTATTGGTTGTACAGATGATGATTACAAATTTATGTAAAAGTTTGGGACCTACCTATTTGCGGCACGTCGTACTGAGGCGAGCCTCTAGGCGGTCGCATCATGAGTTGCGAGTTAGTTAGTTATTATAATATATTAAGTTTTTCTTTTTCGTCTAAAATTTTTAAATACGAAAGATTCATTTCTTTTTTATCCTTTTTATTGTTAATTACCTGCTCTAATTGTTTTAGCCCTATCTGCCTCTTGGTTTTCAATGATACCCTTGTACCCACAAGATTAATTAAATGATTTTTTTCATTTTCTGAAAAATTTGAGGAGCGCCCCCTTTATTTTTCAGGATCTGTATCCATATTATTCTCTCTTACCATCAACTGAATCGGTCGAACATGAAATAGAATCGAACCACAGATGATAAAGAATCGAACCACAGATTATAAAGAATCGAACTCTTAACGTCAAAATATATGTGCGTCACAAATAAGAGGGAAGTTAGTTATTAGCACCAATCTTTTCCATTTTTTTGTCAAATTCCCTAGATCACGTTAAATTTTAAACCATAGTAAAAAAATCACGGTGCAAGATTTTGGACACTAATCTCCTGTTACATTTTAACTTGTCAGTTTATTTAAGTGATCAGTTAGAGAAAGCGGTGCCATAAAAGTATAGAAAAATTACCCCCAATAAATTTACAAAATATTTAGGAAATTCTGCGAATTTAATACTTTGTTGTTAGTAGCCAGGGAAAATATTTGCGGCCGTAGGCTATAGCTTAGCTGGCCTATTATTTAAATTCGGGCCTGATAGCATTGCGTATTGGTTGTACAGATGATGATTACAAATGTATGTAAAAGTTTGGGACCTACCTATTTGCGGCACGTCGTACTGAGGCGAGCCTCTAGGCGGTCGCATCATGAGTTGCGAGTTAGCCGCGCTGAGGTGCGGGATGTGCTGCGAGACGTCCTGCTGGTGATGGTCCTGGGTCCTTTTCTGCCAGGTGCTGGGCCTCCTGTAGGAGTCGCGCTCCAGATGCAGCGGCTGCGGCGGAGTGGCCGCCACGCACACCCATAGAGCCGCCACTACCAGAGCCCACATAGCCGCATGCACTACCACCCTCCTAGGTTATCATCTCGTTCGACCATCTAAACTACCACGACGCGGCACTTGTTGCTCCAAATTTTATTTCTTCGGCAGGTTCTAGCCAAAAATAATCGTCTTGTCTTGCCTCGAAAGTTTCGTAGAGCGCAGTTCTGCGGCGGCGACTCAGTCCTGTGTTATCGGCGCTGGAGACGGCTCAGGACTAATGCAACACGGGCGAAAGCCGAAAGTCTCGACCAAGTCCGCCTACGCGCGCTGCCGCCCCACTACCGCCAATAATTTGCCGCCGCCGCCGCCGCTCCCCATTCATACTACGCCTAGTCAGGTACGCTACTGCTTTTAGACTAACTCAAATGATTGTCGACAATCAGCATAATAACGCGAAATATTTCAACAGCCTAATCATCCGACACCGCTTGATTTTTTAATGAGCTCTCTGGAAATTCACTTAGTCACTACGAATTCGATGTAGGTATCAAGTCTCTCTTTAGCAGAAAATTACTCACTCTAAAAAAATAATGAAAAAATTATATCATGTAGTTAACTATACAGTAGCTAACAATTGTGTACACATAAAAAAATCTAACATAGTACCAAGAACAGCGCTGTCATTGAATGCATTAAAATTAAAGCAATCTAAATTGTTATTTACTCAATTAATTACTATTAAACCAAAATAGGGAGACATTTTGCCTAAATGTCAAAGAATTTATTGCGCTAAATGTATACATAGTATACAATGTATAATAGGGTGTTTCAAAAAAATCGACTTTTTCTTTTTCTTCAAATGGTCAGCAAATTCTTTCAGAGGATGTCAAAACAAAGACCTTGTTAAAATTTGAGCTTTTAATTTGAAGATTTAGAGGTTGCGGATCGCAATTTTCTATTTCCCATTTAAATAACATAGGAAATTTTTTTTTAACTTTGGAATTTATATCGAATCAACTTATGGCAAGGAACATCTTAGATTTTAATAGTAAATTTAACGCTCTATAAAAAATGTCTCTTATAATTTTTCTATAAATTGATTTCTTCCAGAGTTATTCGAGGCCAAAGTTTGATTTCCATCGAATTTTATCGTTTTTTCAACTTTTAGCATCATGTAGTAAAAAAATCACATATTTATATCTGAAACATAGGAAGTGTTGTAAAAAAACAAAAAAACAAAAAAATGTCACTTTTTTCCAAAGCCTACTACAAAGTTTTAATGAAAATATGAGATGTGTATAATATGCAGAGTAATTTATATATAAATGCATTTTTCTCGAAAATAGTGCATCTGAGCAATTCAAATCAAGAGTACCTATTTTTCCTAAAAAACTATAAATTCTCATAATTTCATAAAAAAATTAAATTATTAACCCAGAAAAAAGTTGGGGCTATTTTTGTAACTTTGCCCCCTCCAAATGTTACGCCTATGATTAAATTTTAAAAGTTTTGATCATAGATCTAGATTCAGCATGTCAAAATTACCAAAGTACCGAAAATTCATTTGTTCATGTTCAACCCTCTAGGAATAGTTTTAAAAAAATTATCCTCTTAGGCTCCTATTCAGGGGGCCGTAGCTCCTTTAGGGAGCAGTTTTGATACATGTTTATTAAACAAAAAAGTGTTATTTTTATACGAATGTACTGTTTAAGTTTGGCCCCCTAATTTCGGGACACCCATAATGATAATTGTACCATAAATGTTAAAAAAACGCGAATATTCGATGGAAATCAAACTTTGGCCTCGAATAACTCTGGAAGGAATCAATTTATAGAAAAATGATAGGAGACCTTTTTTGTAGAGCGTTAAATTTACTATGAAAATCTAAGATGATCCTTGACATAAGTTGATTCAGTTCAGAAGTATAAAATTTCAAAGTTAAAAAAAAAATCCCATGTTATTTAAATGGGAAATAGAAAATTGCGATCCGAGACCTCTAAATCTTCAAATTAAAAGCTCAAATTTTGACGAGGTCTTTGTGTTGACATTCTCTGAAAGAATTTGCCGACCATTTGAAGAAAAAGAAAAACTCGATATTTTTTTTTGCTTGCTCTCCACCCAAAATATCGTAGAATATGTCCGAACAAATATTCTGTTAAAAGCGGAGCTCATAATTTCAATTTTAAGAGGTCCTCCATCGAATCTGAAGTTTTGCCGCATAAATAACACAGAAAACTAACTTTTTTACCTTATTTATTCTTGCAACCTAGGAAGAATTTTTTTTTCATAAAATCCATGACTAATTCTTACAAAGCATTAAATTTGGACAAAAAAATCCTATTAAGCCGAATTTCTATTTTCATTATTTGATTTTTTACAGAGCTTTAAATTTAAAGTTAATAATACAAAAATGATTACTTTATACGTCTGTAACTTTTAGAATATTGACGATACAAAAAATTCGCCCTAAACTTTTTTGTGGTCCATCAGACAAGCTAAAAAATTGCCATTTAACTTTTTCGTCTAACTTCAATAGTTTAGCTGAAAAAGGCAAAAAACCTAAAATTTTAAATATAAAGCTCTGTAAAAAATCAAATAATGAAAATAGAAATTCGGCTTAATAAGATTTTTTCGTCCAAATTTAATGCTTTGTAAGATTTGGTCATGGATTTTATGAAAAAAAAATTTCTTCCTAGGTTGCAAGAATAAATAAGGTAAAAAAGTCAGTTTTCTGTGTTATTTAAGCGGCAAAACTTCAGATTCGATGGAGGACCTCTTAAAATTGAAATTATGAGCTCCGCTTTTAACAGGATATTTGTTCGGACATATTCTACGATATTTTGGGTTGAGAGCAAGAAAAATAAAAAAACGACTTTTTTTGGCACACCCTACTATACATACTATAGTAACGTTATTAAATAAATCAAATTAGTATTTAATGCAATAACATTCTAATATGAAATGAAAATAAATATCAATATAAATATCAATAGATTTACGAGCGATATCTTTTGTTGTTAATTTAAAAACAGTAAACGATTATAAACCAAGTGCTAACTACCTATTGGTATTATAGGAACTGTTATTCAGGAATACGGATTACAAGATCCCATTGGTTTAATGGCTCACTCATTCATGCTATGCTAGCGTTTTTTCTATGTATATATACTTCGTCTTTCCTGTACTGGGCTCATACCCAAGTAGCATTATAGTGACGAAAACTGATATCACCACTTTAAATAAGTGGCAATAACGTTTAAACAACTAAATCAACCACGATACAGTTAAAATATCTCCATATTATATTAGCATAGTTGTAATCATGTGATTTGCACCAGCAGAATATACTTTATAGTTTTATAACTTTTTGGTGTATTAGACTGGTATCTGAAATGTTATGACCACTTTTACACCACTTTAAAGTTGTCTAAACTTTAGAGTGGATTATGAATAGTAACTGTAACCAAATCACATCACTTAAGTATTACTTTGAAGTGGTAGTAGTAGTAAAGTGGGTATATCAGTTTTGGCAAACTTTTCCCAAACCTTGAATGTGGCAAAACTTGATTATATCATTGCGGTGGTGATTGCCACGTTCTTGCTACATGCTTGTGATTTCCACGTTTCGTATAAAATTACCACTTTAAAGTTCCCTTCGTCAAAAGCAGACATGTTTACAAATAATCGCCATTGTAGGGAAATAAATGTGTAGTTTTAAACAAATAATTCTGGTTATTACCGCACCAAATTTAACACGTTAATACATATTTATTGGTTTCAGGTAACCAGAAATAGTAAAAAAAATATTTTAGGCCTCTAGATAAATAATTTTCATATCCGCTAAATTTATAGATTTTTTTATTCTTTTTTATTACCACATATTTCAACAGGGCGTGCTTATATTTCAAGCTATGAAACCCATGTTTAACAGTAAAATTTAATTCCTGTTAATTTTATTCTAGTTATTATTTGCAAGTTGTACTTTTACAATATTATAATTCAGTGTTAGTTTATTATCCAGTCAGAGATAGCAAAGATAATAAGATAAATAATATGCTGGAAAGAGACGGGGATAGAAAGTAAAGATTAGTAAAGTTACAATTAAGTTTTGGCCACTATACCTCCACGTTATAGTAACGTAATCACAACGTGGTATTAACGTGTCTTTATACAATTGAAGAACGTTGTTGGAACGTAACAAACCCTAAAAAAGAGTTTTCCATTTTAGTCACTTCCACGTAATAGAACAGTTTCTACCACGTGGCAGAGATTTTGGCAATTGGCAGTTCCAAGTATAAGTGTCCAATACGTTTTAACCACTATAAATGCTACTTGGGTAACCTCTTATGTTATATTATTCTATTTTGTTAAAATCATGTGCTACCCAAAATCTGGTCATGTTTGTCTCCTCTTAACTGTATCCAAGCACCAAGGTTGAGCTGACCCCACCGGAAAAATTTCGAACTTGGAATTTCCTTGCTATCATAGATCAACTTGAATAATCATTGCGGCATAGAATTGAGGTATGCAAACTAATTAATACCCTTTTTTGGGTTTTACGATTTGGAAATTGCAGCAATGACAAACAATTGTGAAAAGAATTGATTCAGTTTTTTAAACATTACTTTGAAAAAAAAATTAAGTGAAAAATGTCACTTATGGTAACAAACAGCAGTGGAAAAGGGTCATTTTCAAAATTGAATCTTCATGTTAGAAGACAGGCTTAACGCTTTTGCTTTAGATAATATTAGTAGCTTTATTAGTACAAAGCAGGGACCCGGACCCAAATGAAATAACGGTTCATGTCCGGTTCCGTTTCCTAGAGAAACGACAAATTTGGGTTCGGGTTCAGTTACAGTTCCAAAAAAAATATCTTTTCGGTCCATACGGTTTACTTGGTTTCACTTTTTTTACCATGTAAAATCTAAAATTATAAAATGAAAAATTAATTTTTTTTGTAAATTTTTGTTGGCAATGCGAAATTGTGGTGAATGCACGTATAGTTCCAGTATAAATTTCAGTACTGTGGTGAGTAGTTATTTTCTTACGTATATAAATATATATAAAAATTTCATTGTAATTTATATAAGGCTGTATGTTATTTGTTGATAAGTAGCATCCACTAATAAAAAAATCTGCAAAATACTTAATTCCGAATTATAATCTCAAATTAGTATCCCATTTATCAGTACCGTGTCGTCAGTTCCATGTTCGATGTTTCGGTTATCTTTTTTTCGCAAACTTGTTTATTTAATGTCAT